ACAGAGGTAGCTGTAGGAGTAGGAGTAGTAACAACCGACTTACCTTTAAGACCACTTTCGGCGGTCTTCAGAAGTCCTTGAAGTTTGCTGAGTGTGACTTCCTCCTTGTTCATGTGGTATGTCATGCGGAATTAATCATAACATGAAGGTAAGGAGTGTAAAATGATGTCAATTGCCAACTCCTCAGGAAAGTTCACATTCAATTTCTGCAAACGGTCCACATACCTTTGCATTTTCTGCATGTGGCCCGTGATGGGTTCACCATCCTTCATCGGGGTTGTTATCATGGAGGAGATAATTTCATATCGCTCTTGACGAACACTCTGATGGTAGCGGTCCATCAAATCCTGGTGCATCTCAAAAGGATAGTAGTCCTCATAGGACTTTTGAAGCTCGACTGTCATAGTGGCCATCATGATGCATGACACTTTTGTAGCATCTCTTTCATGTGCCTCATATTCAGCAAGCTCCTCAGGAGTAGCAGTTTGCTCGGGCACCTTAAGCTCCTTAACGAGAACATATTATTTGTTCTAATACCGAGTGACCATCCTAATGTTCCTGATCCAATCTGTAAAATTGGATCCATCAAAGATGACTCTCCCACAAAGGTTCGTGAGAGAGAAGGAGCCGGTAGGGTTTGGGCCAGAAGCAACATTGTTGGAAGATATCTGAAAAGAAGAAAAGACAAGTTTAGTTTAGATATAAAGATAGTCCTTAATAAAACACCCAAATGTAGTATTAAAGCTAGGATCCAATCACAATATATTATAACTTAGAAGAGGGATGCCGTAATCCAAGCTATAACATATTTGAAAGGTAGGTGAATGACGATTCACCAATTTCCACCATGAAAAATGAAATATATAAGTATTAGGTTTTATTTGGTTCTTAGAAACTTCTAGATTCTTTTGAGATTCATTGAACTTTTCAATGGCATGTTTCAATCTCGAGTGTGCCCTTCAGGTTTTGCGACTGGGATGCCGAGGATCACAAAACAAGGTGTGAATAACCATGCAAATTCACTTGGTACCCTTAATATTATCACCTAATCGATGTGCCGGTTAACCACACGCGCTTTACCGATCTATGATAAACATTAAGTCACCCTTTGTTATCCTTACTAGTCCAAGTTAGTGTGCCGGTTAACCACACACTCTCCACCAACGACTTGGTAAGGTACAAAGTGTGAATTTCATGGGTTAACACTATTTCACATTTTCCTAAAGTAACTAAGATTGGGAATTTATAAAACATTTAGTTACTTTATAATAATCATTATACTTTTAATGAGAATTAAAGTCATTGTCCTACCCGTTCGGCTAACGACCCTCCACCGATCAAGGAAGCGGTGGGTGAGAGTGGACACCCATTAAGCTGCCATTTTATAGGAAACAACCTTATACCCTCCTTATAGATCGGCTTCGTGAATGAGGCCTACTAACGGTAAAACGACTTGATCTTATACATATATAAATATTAACCATTAATCTTATAATAGTATAAGGGTTGAGTTTTAACTTTTAAAATCCTAAGGGTTGGAATTTAAAGTGTGTGTGTCTTTACAAATTCCAAAACTCGAGGGCAAGTTTTGAAACTCTTCAAAACTTTTCATTTCATAACTTATGAGTTAAGGGTTCATAAAAGTGAAGACTCTTCATTTTTATGTAACTTATGTGTTTTAAATGTTCATTCAAGAGGTGACCTTTGGAAATCCATAACTTGAGGACAAATTATGAATTCCATTAAAACACATAAATGATCAAGAATTAATCATTAAACAATTTAGCAAGTAATTCCTATGATCTAACAATAACTCATAAGAACATGAAAATCCATATCAAAATTTCAAGAACATATGAACACATATAAACATGGAATTTTGATATTAGCCATTGTAAATGGATTAGAACAACCATTACACCATCTAAAATAAGTTTTATAACAACAAAACAGTTTAGGGTAATGTTTCTAGTCCATTTCCAGCAGCACAAATCGAAATTATGCATTTTGCATGGCCAACTCGTCGAGTGCATGAACTGACTCGCCGAGTTGGTTAAAGTTTCACTTGGACTCGTCGAGTCCCCCCATGGACTCGTCGAGTCCCCTGTGCAGACAGCTCAAAAATTCGATTTTTACACTCTTTTGCATAAAGTATTCACAAACAAGCCTAGGCTCTGATACCACTAAAGGGTTTTGAGCATTCTAACACTCCTAAGTGTACATGCAACCCTAGAAAACCTTGGATCTATGTTTGTCTAAAATACATGCAAACTACTTTTTTTTCAAGGTTCATAACCTATCTAGCATGACATGGGGAACATTAAACATAATGGCTAGAAGAGTTACATACCTTTCAATTTGTGAGTTGATTCCTTGGAGTTTGAGAGCCTAGCACCAATAATGTGGATGCCTCAAATGGAAATCACAAATCACCACAAACTTGGAAAAACCTTATGAGAGTGTATACTTGCTTATGGAAATTGGCCACCACCTTTTACACACATAACTAGTGCAATTTCAAGCATCACAAGCTCCTTTATATAGTGTGGAGGATTAGGGTTACATCCATGTAAACCCTAATACCCATGACTCTTCCTTTCCAAGGATCCATGGGTTAAAAGCTCCATGGACTATCTATGGAATCCCATGCATGCCAAGCCCATTTCAAATGAGTATTAGCCCACACTTATATAAATACAAGAGCCCATATTTAATTAGTCATCTTTTTGATCACCAAATTAATTCTAAATTAATTTATGATCAATACTAATTAAATAATATGATTTCATATTAATATATTATAACTTATAATATATTAACAAATCATAAACATACAATTCTCAAAGGTTTAACCATAAATAGTTCGGGTGAAGTGCAACCCAAATGGACCATGTCGGGTCGGGTCAAGTATACACCAAATAAAGTTATGGACTTAGACACCTTATCCAACAACAACATGGTCAGATTCAATCTTTCAGGCATTTCCACAAACACCTTTTGTGCAACATATATAAATAATAGAGTATCAAAGCTCAAAGTATAAAAAAAACAAAGATCCAACAAGTGAAAAGGCTTTAAAAAGCAAAAGAAAATTTCTTTTTTAGGCATTTCCACAAACACTTATTGTGCAACTTATGAATATAACTATTACTTCAATTTGTTGTTTACCAATAAGCTTTTAACACCAAACCCACTTGATTATTTATAAATGCAGATTGTGAAATTAAGGTAAGTAAAAAAAACAACAAACAAATAAAAAAGAAATAAAAAGCACTTAACCTGGAAAAGATTTTCATCGATTATGCTTTGATTTAAAGGAACTAATTTTGTTGTTGCGATTTGGATAGAGTATGCTCTGATTTGGTTGCGATTTGGATCAACGAGGGTATAAGAATCGATAATGTTAGCCCGTGTTTGGATGAACTGTTGTTACCGATGCAAAATGATGGATTTATAAAAGCCTCCTGATGATCGATTGTTGATGAAGACGTGTAGGGTTAGGTTAATGAGATACAGACGTGATCGTTATTTCGGGGAAAGATGACGGCGACGCTGGTAGCTGCAGGGAAGAAGGAGGTTGCACCGGTGGTGAGGGATGAAGTCGTGAACAGCGGAAATCGACAATTATGAATGTAGAGGCAAATGTGAATATAGGGTTTTAAACTAATTATCCTTATTTAAAGGGATATTAAATATTTTAAATAATTACTTAAATTAAATATGGTAAAGATTACTATTATACCATTTAACAATTTAATAATTATTTAATATTTGCTAATTTTTGATTGGTACATTCAGGAACATAATAGTTGTTAGAAACATTTAAACACACACACACACACACATATATATATATATATATATATATATATATATATATATATATAATTTAGATAATTAATTTTACAAAATAAAAATAATTTTATAAGAAATTTATACAAATTCTATTAAAATAAAGAACAAATAAATTTGTTTAATAATAATAATAATAATAATAATAATAATAAATTGTTAAAAGAAAGGATAAGTTAGGTCCCGTTTGATAGTTTCTGTCTGGAAAAGTGCTATCTGGTAAAGTGCTGTCTGGGAAAGTTTTCTGACTGGGAAAGAAACCATGTTGTTTGATTGTACATCTGATTGACTGTGCTGAATGATGAAAAAAAGTAATAATCCAATAAAAAATAAATTTAAAAAAAGTTATATAAAAAATTAATAATCCAATAAAGAAAGAAAGATGCGAGGTTTGGTGTATAATTGTCTTTCCAGCCCATTCAGCCAGAAAGATGTGATTTTGGGGCTTTCTGTGAAAGACATATCTTACCGGGAAAGACCCCTTCTTTTGTGCAGATCAAACAGTCTTTCCGGTCCATTCAGCCAGAAAGATCTGTTTGGATCTGAAAAGATGCGTATCAAACGGGGCCTTAGTCTTTTTATATTACAAGGACCAAAATTGCAATATTTATAAACCACAGGAATACAACCTATCAAATTTTAAACTTAGGAATCAAAATTACAATTAAAAAAAACATATGAACCATTTAATTTACTCAAAAGTTGTGGGCAACTAACCTCCCTTCCTTGAGGTCATTGGTTCATAACCAAGCAACATTGTTTAAGTGACATTTTTTGAATTAATTTGTAAAATTATTAGTACAATATATACAAGAAAAGTTTAGTGACAATATATATATAAAAAAAAGTTTTGTGGCTAAATGTGTGGACAAAAAATTAGTGACAAAATATATATATATATAATTCATGTAAACCAAAAATCCATCACGTTAAATGGTAACGAGGTAAACCAATAAATGCCGGTAAAACCTTTAAACAAATTTATAAAATTATTGGTATAATATATAAAAAAAATCATGTGCAAAATAAATTTTTTGTTACCTTCTAAGTCATTGTTGTGCCACCACATTTTTTTAAATCAAATCTCAGTCGTTAATCTAGTCTAATAAATTGTCGGGATTGATTCTTCCGGTTCGAATAATTGGTCTTGAGGGTTTCGATCAAATTAAACCAGTCAATATGATGACCAAACAATTTGTTTTGGACCTCGTCAGAATCGACGACCAGACTCACCATACACGACCTACAACAGTTAAACAGAAAACTACTCCTCCAATGCATTGACTAGATTTGGTCCGCGACATATCAACCTCCATTGAAACACTCCAGATATAACCAGTACCTCCATCGACTAAGACCTTGTAAGCTGCTAATGTAGAACGACCTTCGTCTTTGCTTCATCTTTCTCAATCAAACAAAGCGTTTCTTAAAGCTATCACTAAAAACCCAATCCTAAGAAAAAGGAAAGAGGGTAGAAATAAACCCAGTCGTATTCTGACCTAAAAGGCTAAAACCAGGTGACTCTCATCCTTCTTTATATATTCTTCTCATATGTAGTCAATGGACTTTTCACTTTTCTTATCAGCTTGATTTTAGCCAGGATAATTTCTGGGTAACTTCCGTAATTGTTAATATCTTTGCATTCTCTGCATATCATAATTCAAATACTCCATCTGCTTGTACAATTAGCCAATTAGGGCTCCACAATATTTCTTCAAGTTGGTACCTTTTGCAGTTGCAGGTCATATATATGGGAGAACCAATTGGGATTTTAAAAGTGATCGTTGTCCGAGGCAAGAAACTTGTAATCCGCGATTTCAAAACCAGTGATCCTTATGTCATCGTCAAATTCGGAAATCAGGTTATCTTTCAAATATATAGTTATTCATACCTGCTTTCAATCATCGTCAAACTCCAACATTTGGGTAACTTGGTTCTATGTAATGTGCAGACGGCAAAGACGAAGGTTGTAAACAGTTGCTTGAATCCTGTCTGGAATGAAGAGATGACTTTCTCGCTTGTAGAACCTGTTGAAGTTCTAAACTTGGTAAATTCTAAATTCTCCAAACTTCATTCCACATTTATATGCTTAAATTCTTAAATATTATGCTTTTACTTTGTGATAGGAAGTGTTTGATAAAGACGTTTTCAAGGCTGATGACAAGATGGGACATGCTCATGTGAACATTCAGCCATTGGTGACAGCAGCAAGATTGAGGGAGATTTTAGGGGTTTCAAAGGAAGGAACAGTATTGAGGAAGGTGATCCCTGAGACTGATAATTGTGTAGTTACAGAAAGCTCGATTGATTGGGTGAAGGGTGAAGTTGTACAAGATGTTTGGTTGAGGCTTTGTGAAGTGGAATCTGGAGAGATTGAGTTGAAGCTCAAGTTCATGAAGCCTCCTGCACCTTTGTTACCTCCCAAATCCCAAGTAGTATAAATATTTGAGGCCATATGGGTGTGTGTGCAGTTGCAGGTTATGAAGATCTGATGATAATTATCGTACAAGTTTAGGATTTTAAATGTTGAAATTGATTCATAATCCATTGTTCTTTTTGCTAAATCTGAAGCTTTGTTTAGAACAAAAGTAGGATGTTAATGCTTAGTGTTTTTGTCTTGGTCAAGTAATATACTTTGGTCAATGGGAACTTGGGATTAGGTAAAATGAAGTAACCATCTTTCAAATTAATCAACTAATTAAGTGTTGATCATCTCAATAAACACTATTGGTCTAGAGTATTGAATATATTTTAATATTGTTCATAGAAATCCGCATCTTTCTCTTTTTTGTTGAAATCAGTTTAATGTTAAAATTGTTGGGGAATATATTTATTATATATGTTTTGTCTCATCTTGTTTGATGTTTGTAAGACAGACTTTTGTCCCTTCCAAAAACTAAAGGACTAAAAGACTAAAATCTGTGTCGGTCATCATCTTGATAATCCAAAAATAACTAATCTATTGCAGTAATCTTTGGCTTTGGGTTGGCTCACAAAATTTTATTCTAGTAGTATCATGTGAGATGTGTAATTAAGATATACAATTACCTGCTAGGTGAATACATAAGGGTCCAATGTTTATTAGAAGATTAGTCCATATTAAACATTTGATGTTTTCTAATATAAAGGATATCTAAGCATTACACATTTGATAGCTCCTTATTCCAACTAGTCTCCGCTACTATTAGCTACACAAAATTACGAAACAAAGGAGCTTATCATATAACAATATATATATGGATGTTTAAAACCAATAGTATAGTGTATGCTTCAATTTTATATCTAGGTATATACTGGCTTTCTAGTTTTGCTTATAGGAGAATGGCTGTGTTACTTTTGTACATATTTGGTTATTTTTTTGGTACATGAATTACCATTAAATTTATATTTGTTGTTAAAGAAATACCATTTTGACCGGCTATCACAGGTCTAGCCGGTTTACCTGTTCAAAAAAAAAAAATCATTAAACTCATATTTGTTGTTCAATAAACGCCATTAAACTTACATTTTTATAAAATATCTATCATTAAACTAAGTTTTGTACACATTTAATCGCTTTTATCTTTTCTGTTTATCATCAATTTTCCAACCACTCTCTAACCAACACAATTTCAAAGAAGAAAGAAAACACCATTTACCTATTCATTTTTTTAAAAACATTGCAAAGCGAACATTCTCCATTTTCTCCTCTCCGGTGAAAAAGCCAACATCCCTCCTACTATGCTCACATCTTTGTCTGCTCTTCTCCCTTTCCTGCTAGTTTGTGAAAACCACCTTACCACCACATCTATCTCTCCCATTTCTTTTTGAATTGTATGCCACCGGTAACCACATTCGTTCAAGGATGCAATTTTATTACTGGAATATGAGTTTGAACTAATTAGAGGGTTAAATCAATTTATAGGTTTGAATGTGAGTTTGAATCGATTTTGTTGTAGGTTGAAGTTGATTTTAGATTACTTACTTGGTGGTGGTGGTGGTGAACGGTGGTTGTGGTGATGAAATGTGGTGCTTGTTGTTAGAGGTGGATAGTGGCGGTTATGGTGGAAATGGATGGTGTTGGCCGAAAAAGATGACTAGTACCTTGCCAGAATAGTTTTTGTTTTTTTTTTACCACTGACCTTGCCAAAATAGTCCCATTTTGCTCTTTTGAATCATTTTTACATCATGTTAGATTGCCCAGTAAATGGAACTATGTTAGTACGTTACCAGAAGAACTTTGGGACTAGCGATATCAAGGTGTACAAGAAAGGTGTTTCTCCCCAAGTGGTTGAGGTTTCAACTCTCGTTGTGGAAAAAAATGTAGAATTAAAAGTAGGATTAAAGGGTGTGTGTTTTTCCGCTTTAAAAATATGGAAGTATGTTGCTATAAGTTGCTCTAAAAATACTCATTTTGCTTCATTTTTACTTGATGCCAAAACAACCACTTTTTAATTTTTATTTTTTATTAATTTTTTTTACCATTTGACCTCTTACCAAAACAACCCTATTTTGTCCAAAAATGCTCTTTTTGAACCATTTTAACTTAATGTTATAGTGTCCACTTAAGTATGTTGCTATAAATTGCTTCAAACGTGTAAAAATACAATCCTTATTGATAAACAATTCACATTAAAGTACATTAATATAAGAGACATATGACCATATTAAAATTCCATTCCAATTCAATTACATAAACGTAACTCGCATATTTCATCATTAAAAAACAAATTAATACGAAAATTACAGCAATGGCAAACAACATAAGATTAACCATGAAGAAATCAATCCTTTATTTTTGTCCAACATCTCAAGTTTCATTAGTTTCTTCTCCATGTCAATGCTCTCCTTCTCAAGGTTCATATTCTCATTGTACACATTCCTGTTCTCATTGTGCAAATCAACAACATTGTCTTTATACCATTGAACACATAAATCCTCATCAATCCATAAATATACAATCTTTTGAAGGATTCTATAAAAAAAAAAAACAAACAATGTGACTAAACATTACAAAAACAACAAGAATTTAAAAAAGAATTTCATATACCTAAGAATGGAGGCACCAATGAAAGGTGGCTTAGGTTTTCCTTGGTACGTGAAGTCCACATCCTTGTATGTTCAACACATCCACACCTAATTTGTTTATGGAGCTTGAAACAGAAGAAGAAGGAAAAGACGGGAAACCCAGTTAAGAAGCTCTACGAAAACAAGAAGAACTAGAGTAGGAGGGGCAAATTTCTTATACATTGTACATATTTAGGCTATGTTTGGCAGACTAGCTGAAAAGCTAGCCGGTAGCTGATAAAAAATGACATTGGGTAAAAACTAACTGATAAGCTAGCTAGGAGATATAAAATGACATTTAAAAAAATATATACTTTAATAATTAATTAAGGGTATATTCGGGGAATTTTAAAAAAGCTCATGAAAAGCTAGTCTAAGTAGCCTTTTGAAAGAACAGCTTATAAGATAGCTTATCGACTATTGGCTTGCTAAACATGACAATTAAAAAAAACTCAAAAATAAGCTAGTTTATTAACTAGTTATGACATGCCAAATATAACTATGTAATTGCCACATCACTATTAGATGCCACTTATTTTGAAGCCAAATAATCAATGAAAGCCCTTGGTTTAGGCTAGCTTGTTACCTCATTAAATTAAGCAATTCAAAAAGTGAAATGGTTTAAACGTACTAAAAATTATATTGATTTTTTGTAAGAATTTAATGCTAATGGATTAAGTTTTTATGAGATTTGTCCTAAATTAAATTTAAGCAATTCAAAAGATAAAAAACACAATGATTTTTTTTTGTAAGAATTTAATGATAATAGATTGATTTTTTCCCTAAATTAATTATAATAAATGGGTTCTCGCCCCATAATGCGGCTCTCGACTAGAGCCTCAAAACATTAATCTCTCATGTAAAATACATGTGCCTTGTTTGGTAGCCATAAGTTATTGGTTCATAAATTAATTATAAAAAAGAAGAATTTATAGAAACAACCATATTCGTTAATGACTTTTCAAAAATTAGCATTTTTTTGAAAATAGTCACACAAATCGTAGGTGAGTACTCACCTATTTACCTGTAATTTCATGCCTACCGGCTGTGATCTCATGTACATGTGGGTTGTGAACCAGGCCTTATGTCCATTGAACTGTAATATACAAACCTAAAATTCTAAAATAACCTTAACTTTAACATTTTTAAATTCAAAAAATTCTCCCAACTCTCTCTAATGGCCCACTAACAACATTCACCTAAAAACTTTGGGGGTGTTTAGCTTGGCTTTTGAGAGTGCAAAAGTCCTTTTAGGAAAAGATCAAAGGTAAAAAATGTTTGACAAAAGGCTTTTAAAAGCTACTTTTGGATTTTGGATAGAAGGAAAATCAACTTTTTGGAAAAGTCAGGAAAACCTGACTTTTTGCAACTTTTCCAAAAAGGACTTTTGCCTTCTAAAAAGCTAAGCCAAACACCCCCTTTATAAGTAATTGATTTATTTCATTTTGTAATCGTGTTTTACTAATTATAGTACATTTAAGATAGGTTTATAGGCGTTTATTAGTAAAATATCGAAAATATCAATTGTAGATGAAATCACAACTATATGGCATGAAATATCAGGTGAAAAATTGTTAGGTGAGAATGTATAAGTCACTGATGCATATGTACATCAATGACTTGTATGTTTGTAAATCATCTTTTGCCAACTAAGAATGTACAAGTCTTTGAATCGTACATTATGTATCATTAACTTGTACATTCGTAGGTGACTCTTAGTCATCTACCATTCTAAAATATTGGGTTGGGCCGAAAATAGGCAAAATCGTAGCTTATGAAGTTGAGATCGCCAACTGAGAGACTTGAAATCACAAATGAGTCTAACCATCTGCGAATTATATAGCCACTAGGTGTGAGACCCATATATTACATTAGTTTATTTAAAAAAAATTAAATATAAAATTTTAAGAATTTGAAAAGTTTGAATTTATAAGAAAAATGAGAAATTTTTTGCATTATTAAAATTAATGAGACTTTAATGTATTGAATACATTACATATATAAACACTTTCTAATAAATACTTTACATATATATTACCTTACATATTAAATGTGGAATTTTAATTTAATAAAATGAAAAATACAATAAAATGACAAGTGGAAAATAGAAAATTTAAAAATTTTAGAAAATGCCATGTGTCCAAATGAAGGAGAAGAAGACATGTGGCAAAAAAACCTTTATTTATTAGAGTAGATTTTTTTAAAAAAATTACTAATTTTAGCTATTTTTTACAAAATAATTAAGAAATTTAGGTATTTTAGTAAATTTCTTAGAACGTACGAGGAGGGAAAAGCAACAATCCGAAATTATATATTTCAAAACAAATTCCTCCCTCTTTCGTTGAGGGTTATCGATGATCGCGTTCGTGATGAAGCAGCAGACGTTAATACCAGATTCTGGTTTCACGGACCATCAAAGCCCTAATTCAAACCCTAACGATGGTTTAAATGGCGGAAAGGTGACGGATTTAGGAAATGGGAGCGACATCGTATACTTGCCCCGGTTTCTGACGCCGGAAAAGTCATGGGAGTATCTCCACTATCTCAACAAACACATCCCATGGACAAGACCTACCATTCGCGTCTTCGGTAAGCCTTGTGTCCAGGTAAACAAACCCTTTCAACTCCTAATTTTCACTTTCATTCCTCTACAACCACCAACAGATTACTAACGATTAGCTCATCATCGTGTAAATAGTTGTATCATGAATACCGTATTTGTTTCCTTAGATAACGTATCGTGATTTGTATTCTCTTGTTTCTGTAGAACTCTCTTTGCATTTGAGCCAGTTATTTTCAAAATTGGTAAAAATTGTTTAGCTTCTACAGTACAAGTATTTACAAGTTCGAAAATTGGGAGTCTAAAAACTAGATTCATCTGTTCTTGAAGCTTTCCTCTCCCATATCTGACTTAAACTTGTTAATATTCTCTACAGCCTAGAGATGTATGCTACATTGCAAGTGAAGGCTTGAAGGAACTAAGTTACAGTGGATATAAACCAGATGCACATTCTTGGGATGATTTTCCACCATTGAAGGAGATTCTGGATGAGGTAAAAATGATATGATCGTATGTATGGAATCAAGCTATAAATGATGCGGATTGATGAACTTGATATGATTTGGGTTTTAGGTACACAAAGCCTTTCCTGGGAGTCATTTTAACAGCTTACTTTTAAATAGATACAACAGTGGAAATGACTATGTTGGGTGGCATGCTGATGATGAGAAGCTTTATGGAGACAATCCAGAAATCGCCTCAATCTCCTTTGGATGTGAACGTGACTTTTTGTTGAAAAAGAGAAATTATAAGAAATCTAAAGGTACACTGTCAGTGTGTTTGACTGGTATAAACTACCTTATTTTTTGAGCTTGTTAGGTAGCTTATACACTAGCTTTTAAAAAAGTGTTTCACTTGAGATAGGTTATTGATAAACTCATGGGGCTTTTCCCACAAGTTTTCCAAACATACCCTTATAATAACATTAGGGGGTGTTTGGATTAGCTTATTAGCTTATTGCTTATTAGCTTATTTGTGGTGGGAATAAGCAATAAGCATGGGAAAAGATGCTTATTAAAATTAGCTTATTTAGCTTAATAAGCTGGATTTTATCCAAACACTCAAAGTTAGCTTATTGTGGGAATAAGCAATAAGGACCTCTTTTTTTCCTATCCAAACACCCCCTTAGTTTTTAATTATATATCTAAATGCCGTTTTATGTTATTTTACATTTTTCATCTAGCTTGTCAGCTAGTTTACTTTGCGCTATTACTTTATCCGATGAACAAGCTTTTCAGCTAGTCTGTCAAACACAACCTTACACAGTCATCTTTCTCACATTGGGATTTTTTTTTATTTCTTTTCTTATTGGGCTTGTGTGTGTGTGTAGGTGAAGTTGAGGGTGAGCCTCCAAGCAAGCGATTGAAGAAGAATAATGGTGTAGAGCAATATAGTTTTAACTTGAAGCATGGTTCGTTGTTACTGATGAGGGGTAACACACAACGAGACTGGCTTCATTCAGTGCCTAAACGGTTAAAAGCGGGGTCTACACGAGTTAATCTCACATTCAGGCGAGTTATGTAAATAGGAATGCTTGTGTAAACACTCTTGTTTTGTTGAAACTTGAAAGGGATGTAGAAACAAGAATGGAGATGGATTCCATTTTGTTGTTATGTATCTGGAATCGGAATCGGAACTGGTTTCCTAGTAACATGATACCGGCCTATGCAGTTATCGTGGTCAAAATTTCAATAGCGGTCACATGCCGCTATTTAAGATCGCAGTTATCGCGGTGGTATAGCGGTTTTTTACTATTACTTATAATTTATAATTTTATATTATATTTATATTGAATTTATATATATATATGAGTATTAATACTATAAGTCTATATAGAATTAGTATCATCAAATCTGAAAAGTCATATAAAAACATAACATAATATTCTATTATAGTAATATGGAAACTAGGTAATGTCAAAGTGTCAAATAGAGTTTAATTGCAGTGCACGGGTTCAATATCGTATTAGTAGGTCGTGGTTGATTTAAGGAGTTAAGTCCCAAGTCGTAGCGTCATAGGTGTGGGTCGATTTACAAAAAGCATTAATGTAGTCCGATTATAGCAGCTCAAGTCTTCGTGAGTATAGAAAGAGATGAGAAAGAGAGTTGTCGGTAGACGTAGTTGCTATGCATGCTTTTAATTATGTTAGTTGTTCGGGCTTTTTAAAATGAAAGTATAGTAAGATCATTAAAAGTAGTTTTTCATTGACAAAATAACCAAATGGCCCAAAATGTGAACGAAAATGGAATAGCGCCCGTAGGGCCGCAATAACGGTTATTGAAATAGCGCCGCTAATAGCGGCACTGCGAAATGAAAACGCTAAATTGAAAATAGCGGTTCTTAACCTACGCAAAACGCTATAGCGCCGCTATAGTGTGCAATTGATACGGCCGAATGTTTTTTAGTTATACCACGATGTCTTACTTACATAGATTATACACAACCATGTTTTGTAAATAAGTATATAATCCTATAACATTGATCGATTACATAAAGTAATTTTTATATCTTAAAAGATTTTTGTTTCGTATATTTCAGCCGTTGCATGCCGGTGTGTTTGTCTCGGCTATCAGAATTCAGAATTCTGAAGATCTTTGGAATCTGATGTTAAAATCAGTGTCTAACTGCAGCAACACTATAATCCCCAAATCCCAATTCTTCTTCTTATTCTCCTTCAGATTATCGTCGTCTTCTCCGCGAAGCAAATATCACAACTATTATCTCAGAAAACGAAGAAAATGGCCACACCCAGTTTACAAAGCCCGTTGGCACGAGAAACTAAGCCAACAACACGCAATGCAAGCCCTTCGACAGCAAGCTTCATCATCATCATCACCGGTTAATCTCCTCTCGACTCTCATCAGTTCTTACGCTCTCTACAACTGCGACCCAACTCCAAATTCTTACCATTTTGTCATCAAAACCCTAATTAAAACCTCTCAATCCCACTACATTCCTCCCGTCCTCTACCACCTCGAGAAAGTCGAGAAATTTGAAACACCCGAATCGATTTTTACTGATTTAATCGAGTTCCACGGTGAGAACGAAGAGTTTCAGGAAGCAATTGATCTTTTCTTTAGATTACCTGATTTTAGGTGTACCCCTAGTGTGGATTCGCTCAATTGTTTGCTCTCGGTTTTGTGTAAGCGAAAAGAGGGTCTTGAAGTTGTGCCACAGGTTCTGTTAAAGAGTAGGTTAATGAACATTCGTCTTGAAGAATCCAGCTTTTGTATATTAATCAAAGCGCTTTGTAGATTCAAAAAGCCAAAAAATGCGATTAGTTTGTTGTATCATATGGTCGATCATGAAATTGACATTGATCGCGGGAGTTTTTCATTGATACTCTTGACATTGTGCCAGCAAAACGATCTCAAACGTAATGAAGTTATCGATTCGCTTGAAGAAATGAAGAAATTAGGGTTTTGCCTCGACAGAGCAGATTGGGTGAACGTAATTCGGTTATTGGTGAAGAGGGGAAACGGCAAGGAAGGTTTGGAGGCGTTGAGTGAAATGAAATCCGATGGCTTTAAGCCTGAAGTTATTTGCTATACTATGGTTATGGATGGGTTGATTTCTGAAAGCGACTATGAAGGCGTAGACCAACTGTTCGATGAAATGCTTGTAATGGGTTTGGTTCCTGATATTAACACTTACAATGTGTACGTGAATGGTTTGTGTAAACAGAATAAATTTGACGATGGAATCATGATGCTTTCAAGCATGGAGGAAATCGGATGCAAACCCAATACAATCACTTACAATACACTATTGGGTGCTATCTATGAGAATGGAGAACTTAGTAAAGCAAGTAACTTTTTGAAACTTGTGAGAGGAAAGGGTGTTTTTGTGAACTCAAGAACGTATGATATAATGATTGATAGGATGGTTAAAGAAGACGATATGTCAGAAGCTTTAGATCTCTTGAAGGAGATGGTGTCCAAAAGCATGGTGCCTCAGCCTGCAACTTTTGATGAAATTATTTGCAGGTTGTGCAAGAATGGATTATTTTCAAAAGCAATGAATTTGCTTACTGAAATGATGGGAAAGAATGTTCTTCCGGGGTGTAGATCATGGGAAACACTGTTAGTTGGATTACAAATTGAGCATTCATTTAATGAGATTAATTTGAGTGCTATGGAAACAATTTCTGCAAAATAGCAACTCCATTAGTAGTTAGTACACTAAAAGCAAGTTCCTGTATTATAGCATCCTACTTTAGTTTCTTTCTGTTACACCTTTGTATTTTCAATATATTTTTCTTGTTAAAAACATTTTACTTTTAAAATTCCACTCAATTATATGATTGTACTTTCAATCTAAAGATATGGACAGAAGTTTGTCTTTATGTATTTAGCAGTCAACAAAAGCAATTTTGATTACAAAACATAACAAAGACCCTTGTTTACTTTTGGATCCATTCCAATTCCGTTGTGTATAATAATAAGGTTATTGACTACACAACAAAGGTAGTCTGTCAAACAACCCCAGCCCATGACACATTGACACGTGTCTCCATTTGGATAAGTTATCATTTTCCTTTTTTCCTTTTTATTTGTCTTTATTACTATTATATTTTATGGATGTTACCAACTCCGGTATCACATGGAAGAAAAAAACAATACGTCACTTGCCTTGCATGACAAAACCACCGAATAAAACATCAAAACACACACACACAGTCACACACAGAGAAAGCAAAAAGATGGGAGAACCAGACGACTTTCCTTTATTTGAAACCAAGCTAGCTAAGGGACGAACCTTGTTCAAGCTTTATGCAGCATCAATGGCGATGGGTATATGTTTGATATGCGTTTATAGAGCAACCCACACACCCGAAAAGGGCAAAACCGGAAGATATTTATGGATTGGGTTGTTCATGGCTGAGCTATGGTTCACCCTCTACTGGCTCATAACCCAGTTGGTTCGATGGAATCCAGTCACACACCAGACCTTCAAAGAAAAACTCTCTCACAGGTCTCTTTCTCAAATCTCATTCACAATATCATCTTCATCATATGAATGTTGTCTCCTTATGTTTGCAGGTATGAAAACATGCTTCCTGGTGTTGACATATTTGTCTGTACAGCCGACCCAGTAATAGAGCCGCCATTAATGGTGATAAACACGGTGTTATCCATGATGGCATATGATTACCCATCGGAAAAGCTCAACATTTATGTCTCCGATGATGGTGGATCAGTGTTAATGTTCTATGCACTTCTAGAAGCTTCTCGTTTCTCCAAACACTGGCTACCCTTTTGCAAAAGGTACAAGATTGAGCCACGTTCACCCTCAGCTTACTTTGCTCATGCATCTCCTATCAACAACGAATGGTCATCCATCAAGGTAGGCTCCCAACATAAGTAATACACTAATAACATGAATACTTATATATTTTATATAACCAAACAGAATAAATATGAAGAAATGAGGAAACGAATCGATGACACCACAAGTTTAGGGAAAGTGACAGAAGAAATGAGAAAAGAGCATAAAGGGTTTCAAGAATGGGTTTTGGGTTCAAACAAAAATGACCATCAGGCTATTATTCAAGTACGTCACATTTTTCACATACTACATGTTTTTTTTTTTTTTTTTTTTTTTGAAAAAAAAAACATAACTTATATACTATTTATAAACTTTTATATATAGATACTAATTGATCAAAGAGATCCTGAAGCAAGAGATACAGATGGGAAAAGTTTGCCAGGTTTGGTATACATGGCACGTGAGAAGAGACGTGAATGGCATCATAACTTCAAAGCTGGAGCCATGAATGCTCTGGTAATATATTTAACATATCAATTTATGTGTGACAAAAAGAAAATGTATTGAAGATTTAGTGATTTACTAATTTGTAAATGAATCAACAGATACGAGTGTCATCAAAGATAAGCAACAACCCAATTATTCTAAATGTAGATTGCGATATGTACTCAAACAATTCAGAATCCATACGAGATGCCATGTGTTTTTTCATGGATGAAAAAAGGAGTGAAAAGATTGCATTCGTACAGTTCCCACAGCACCATGATAATCTTACAAGAAATGATATTTACAGCAATGCTTTGATGGTCATCAATGATGTAAGATTGTTTTTCTTTTTGGACTGAATGAACTGTCTGAATGTAAGTAAATGACTTTTTTGCCCTTGTGATAAAGGTGGAGCTTGGAAGTTTGGACTCTTACGGGGGGTGTCTATACATCGGAAGTGGTTGCTTTCACAGAAGAGATACTCTCTGTGGCAGAATCTATACCCTAGACACAAAAATTAATTGGGAGAAACAAAATCATAAAGAAATTACAGAAAGTATTGACGTGATCGAAAACGAATGCAAAATTCTTGCAAGCTGTAACTACGAATACAACACTCAATGGGGAAAAGAGGTCTCTCTCTCTCTCTCTCTCACACACACACACACACATTGCAGTATATATCTAACTGTATACTTACAGATGGGATTAAAGTATGGATGTCCCGTTGAAGATATTATTACTGGACTTTCCATAAAATGTAGAGGTTGGAGATCTGTCCACTTAAACCCAAAAAGAAAAGGGTTCTTAGGACTTTCTCCAACTACACTGTTACAGACACTTATACAGACAAAAAGATGGGCAGAAGGTGACTTCCAGATATTCTTATCCCAATACTGCCCCCTTGTATTCGGGCACAACAAAATTCCACTGAGACTTCAAATTTCTTATTGCTGTTACCTCTTATGGGCTGCAAATTGTTGGGCTACGCTATATTACGTTTCTGTCCCTTCTTATTGTCTCCTCGCACACATCTCTCTATTCCCAAAGGTTTGACTTTTCAAACATTTCGAAATCAATACATTTTGTTTTACTATAAATAGCATTCATATGTTTGATTGTGTTTAACTATTTATACCTACAGTTATCAAGCTACTGGTTTCTACCTTTTGCGTATGTATTTGTTGGAAAATACGCATACAGTTTGGGGGAGTTTTACTGGTTAGGAGGGACAGTAAAAGGTTGGTGGAATGACCAAAGAATGTGGTTGTACAGAAGATTAACTTCTTACCTTTTTGGATTCTGTGATGTTATCTTCAAGTCAATGGGGTTCACCACTTCTGGTTTTGTCATCACATCAAAGGTTTCTGAAGAAGATACGTTACAGAGATACAACAAAGAGATCATGGAATTTGGTGCCACGTCACCAATGTTCAACATTTTATCAACACTTGCACTCATTAATGTTCTCAGTTTTGTTAATGGAGTAAAGTGGGTGGTTATGGATTCAGACATTAATGGTTTTAGTGAGTTAGGGGTACAGATGGTTTTGTGTGGTTTGATAATTCTCATTAACATTCCATTATATGAAGGGATGTTCTTTCGTAAGGATAATGGTAGCATGCCCTCTTCTGTTACCTTCCAGTCAACTATTTTAGCTGTATTATTTTGTGCACTAGCCATTATTTAGATTGCATCATGTAAAAATATGTCTACTACGAACTCATACTCTAAGTTATTTATTAAAGCATTTATGAAAAAAAGACAATGTATAACTAATAGCCAAGAGGCTGTTTCTGCTGAGTTGTGATTCACCCTTCTTACCCTATAGCCACTAGTCAGATCAAACATGGGTCCCGTTCCCGAAAGAGCGGACGGGGTCAAGTATGAGCTCTATTGATTTGGAAAAGAGAACAATAGGTTATGTGATGACAATCAGGGGTATTGCATTCACTTGGTTGTCCATGTTACAGAAGAATGTTGCTCTTTCAACCACATAAGTAGAGTACATAGTGATTATAGAAGCAAGTAAGGAGCTCATATGGTTGAAGAACTTCCTATAAGAAATTAGGATGCAACAGGAAGTTTGTGTATTTGCACTTTGACAACCAGAGTGCAATCTATTTTCGTCAATGAATCCAATGTTTCATGGTAGGACAAAATACATTCAAATAAGGTACCATTTTATCCGAGAACTGATAAGTGTTGAGACTGTGAAAAAAAATCTTTGCTACAAAGAATCCAACAGACCAAGGTGGTGACAACCGAGAAATTGAAGTTGTTCATGAATTCAATTGGCCTTACCGGTACTTGAAGAGAAAGTGTGGACTAGAGAGAGATGATGGTTACAAAGTTTAGATTGTATGATAACATATTGGTTAAGCAGCCTCCACTCGAAATAGGAGATTGGTGAGCTGTGGAGTATGATTTACTCTTTTGACCCTATCGCCGTTAGGCATATTTTATGTGTTTTGCTCCTTTTATATACAGTAGAACTTCTATAATTTAATACTCGATATTAATAACCTTGATAAAATTAATAATTTGTCCGGTTCCAACTTGGGACCAGTACAAAATTGGACCCCAATCGATAAAATAATAAATAATAATTTTTTGAAATCTCAGCCCAGCGAAACTATAAATTGATTATTACTAAAATATTCCAAAATTCTTAAATTGTCTAGTAAAAAATAAATTTATAGTTACATGTTTTTTTTGTGAACTTCAAATCTATATTGAGTTCATCTTTAAATCTCCCGATTGCACTTAAGAGCTGAGACACTGTATTCTCATATTGCAACAAAAAGTTGTGAAGAGTTGTTACCGTTTGCAATGGTTCTTTCCAAGTGACCGAGAATTTTGACAAGTTCATTAATGTGTGAATGTACATGAGAATTTTGAAGGTCTTTGTTTCTATTTTATTCAAATAGGTAAAGTGAACTGACATGAAAATTTTGAAGGTCGATGCATTAATTTGAGAGTTTCTCACGAATATAAGCCAACTCTTTAAACTAATAATTTATTAATTTATCGATATAATAATATCTTGTTAAATTAATAAAATATTCTAGTCCCAACATTATTAATTTATAGAGGTTTTACTGTATATGGTTAGGATCTTTTGAGAACCTTTATATTCGTGAGAACCAGTGAACCTTTTTTGCTGTAGATTTATATATATATATATATATATATATATATATATATATATATATATATATATATATATATATAAAAGAACTTTTGTTTAAAAAAATTTCAAAAAAAATGTGTATATATAAAATGAGCATATATGCATATCATGTAATGCATATATGTACAACGCAAATATACATAAATGCACATTTCGTATATACACATTTTTTTTTGAATTTTGTTTAAACAAAAGTTATTATATATTTTAGAGGTGCATAATTTTTTTTATTTTTTGGAAAAAAATCTACAGCAAAAAAGGTTGTCGGGTTCTCATGAGTATTTGTGTGAACCACATTATATATATTATGTTCTTTGTTTTTCATATGCATTAATACTTTGTGTAAAAGTGTTTGTTAAAGTGCTCAAAAGCTAACATATATCAAAGTTATAACAGTGACAAAGTGTAACATTTAGTTTTAAGGTGCATGATTTCGAGGTTTCTTTATCATTTGAATGAAGTCACGACGTGAACAATGCCCCTTACGTCGTGAGCCAATGTTGACCCGTTGACCCACATTCTTTGAATCTCACGATGTGAGCCCTTGTTGCTCACGACGTGAGAGCGGTCTGATGACCAAAATCCTAATTTTTCGGTATTTAATGGAATGAGAGGGCTAGGGTTGTCCACCCTCAGCCTCCCTCACACTCTAAGCCTCCAGAAACCCTAGTATCAATCATTCTTGAAGCCCTTAGTCATTTTTGGTACAGTTTCTAGCTTGAAGAAGAAGAGAACAAAAGGAAAGAAGTGCTCTAGTGATGGAGTGAGCAAAGTATCATCATCATCATCATCATCATCATCATCATCATCTTTTCTTGCTGTTGGACCTATGTAAGTACCAAAGGTTCAAACTTGATTGCATATTATGGATAGATCTAGGTTTTTGTCCATATTTCTTCATGTTAAGCATGCTTGAGTGAAGTAAATCCTTAAAGTTAGCAACTTTATGGATTCTAAGGGTTCCTTGATCATCATATTGACTAGATCTGGAAGTTGGTGAGGTATAAGAGCCATGCATGAGAGTTTGATGCATATTTTTTCACTTTTTGACGTAGAATGGGTTAGGTCATGCATGGTGCAAGCATGACCATAAAACAAACATTTTTATGGGCCTTAGGGGTCCCCTTTAGCTTCCGGATAAGTTGGGTTCAATGGCTTAACAAAATAAGGACTTATTATCTTGACTTTTGGCTTCAGACCGTAGTCACGACGTGAGATATCAAGTCTCACGACGTGACAAACATTAACCCCGTATATCGTTGAGTTCATGGAACTCATGAATTGAATCTATGATTCCCACATCGTGAGGTTAGTTCAATAAGAATTTATGGTTGAGTTATCTGAGTCGGGAGCGAGTTGCTGGGATCGGACCTGGTCGACTCTCACGACGTGACGAAGGACTGGTCACGATGTGAGACCCCCATGTTAAGGTTTTGTCCAATGGATTTGACTTGGTTGACTTTTGACTTTGACCAAGTTTGACTTAGGGGTATTTTGAGTAATAGCCCGAGTTTTGGTCACTGTTATTTGTAAAGGTGACCGGTAGAGTTGGTTTCAGAGTAGTGTGTGGTTTTAGCTTATTATTCGTCTGTGAGGTGAGTTTTCTCATTGTATCCATGGGTCGAAGACACCAATGCCGGTCTATTACTATGCTATGCAAGATGATAACTTTTATGTGGCTTATATGTGTTAATTTGTATGTCCGAGTTGAAATAAACCCCATGGCGGGGCCCACTATCATATGTTCGGGTTGAATTAGACCCATGGCGGGGCCTACTATTGTATGATTGGGTTGAAAGATACCCCAGGGCGAGGCCCATATGTGTTGATCGGGTTGAAATATACCCAGGGCAAGGCCCAGGGCTGGGCCCATATGTGTTGATCGAGTTGGAACACACCCCAGGGTTAAGCCCAATTGTATGATTGGTATGTGGTACTTTGGTGAACTCACTAAGCTTTGTGCTTACAATTTATGTTTATGGTTTCAGGTATTTCCGTTTCTAAAGGGAAGGGCCCGACGTGATGACACAACATCCTCCCCTTATGATTTCCGCATTTTCAATAATTGTACCATGATATTTTGGGTATTATATTTGGTGATGGTTTTGAAACAATTTACTGAATGAAATTGATAGTCTTTCAATGAAATTTTTTATCACCATTTTTGGGTGTTACACAAAGACAGAGACCGAGACCGAGACCCTGAAAGTGGTAGCGACAATGACAGCAATGATAGTGACATACCTTATACTTGAAGCATTGCTTTCCTAACCAAACCACCCTCAACCTAGCTTGAAACTATGACTTAAATTCCTCAACTTTGTTTCATCAAACTACACAAAAACGGATTATCCAAAAATTACTCCATAAATAATCTAAAAACCTTAAAAAATAAATACTAATTACCTTTATTAAAATTTCATTTTATCACCAATGTAGTTAACTTCCCTCTTCTGAAAAAAAAACTTTCACGTATACAACCATCATGGTAAGATACAATAACCAAATGTCAGTCATGTCATTATCTTGTTGACTATAAAGTTTGACTCTCAACGGAACTATTTCCTATTTGAATGCACCTTTCTTTTTTGCAATAATTCCTTGTTTAAAACTTCTAACAATATAATTATCTTGATATTCTCTTGTTATCTTGAAGCTATCAACACATAACTCACCGGTCATTCCCATTCCAAAGTCATTGTAAGCATCCCATAGATCATCTTTACAATGCCATGTCCTAGTTAAGATCCCTTTCTGTTAATTTAATACATATATGCATGTGTAACATCCCAAATTTCACGTCCAAAAATTTCATTTTTAAATCAATACTTTGGAAAACATTTGTGAATAAACATCGTTTGATCATATCATTTCATAAACATATTTCGTGTCTGAAAACCAAAATATAAAACAACCATAATGTCAGAGTACAAAATCCCAGAATAACTCATGGTGCGGAAAACATTGTGCGTGTATGATGTGCCGCTACCGCGCCAGCTCCTTCCCCTTCGATGAAGAGGTACCTGAAAACAAAACTGTAACTGTAAGCACGAAGCTTAGTGAGTTCCCTCATTGTACCACATACCATACAAACACATAGCATACATACTGCTGGGCAATTCTGGGGTGCCCAACCTACCCGATACGGCCATTCTGGGGTGCCGACCTACCCGTGTCAAGCCATTCTGGGGTGCTGACCTACCCATGTCAAGCCATTCTGGGGTGCTGACCTACCCATGTCAAGCCATTCTGGGGTGCTGACCTACCCGTTGGTCCTAACAACCGAACTTGGGGCTATTCCCCTCCTACTACCACTATCACATATAACATAGCATGCCAGCATATAAACATATCATCACATGATGTCAGACATATCTGGGGTGTCTGACCTACCCTTCGGTCCTTACAACCGAACTCTACTACTATCTCTTATAACATATCATGCCAGCATATAACATATCAGGTAGTAGCAAAACTAGATGATATCACAAAGACAATCACCTAACATACAACTCCTACTGGTGGGTCGGCATTGTGGCCGTAGACCCACCGCTAC